TTCCATTGCATCGAGATGCTCTCGTAAAGAAGCAATCTCTCTCGCAGCCCGTTCTTTTTCCTCATTGAGCTGCTTACTTAGACCTTCTTTTTCCATGGTTAATTTTTCGCAACGTAACGAAACTTCTTTTAGTTCTTTTTTGTTCGCTGCCAATGAGTGCTCCAAATCCTCCTGCAGTACTGATTATATTGCGCAAAAATAACCGAAATATAAGTCCGCTCAATTGTTATTAATCGAACTGTTCAATTATTCATAGTTCTACCACACAATTTCTTTAATTACTTTGTTGGGCTCCCTGGCCCGGGCGCTTCAGTCGACTGGCCGGGTACTGCGGCCCATCAAGTCTGGTCGTCGACTCCTCGGCAATTACTGGGAGTAGGGACGGGGTCCTCGTTCTTCGTAAGTCGTCCTGGTCGGTGCACTTCACGGGATCACACTGGTCGGTCGACAACACTCGATGGGATTAACACTATTCCTTCGGATAAACACTACCTACAATACAGCTACAACGGCCTTATACAGACCGCTTTCTCGCCAATGCACGACCTACCTAGGAGGGAGTCATGATGCAACAACTTATATACGGGCATTATAGCAAATCCAAAATAGACGGGTAAAAAGAAGGACAAAAGGGCTTTAAGGATGTAAGACTAAGGAAATGATGAGGTAAAACATTTCGGCTCATTAAGTCGCGGACGCGTAGCTTGGCTCTGCTAATGGATCTCTTCAGTACGACGGTTATATCAGCCGGTAAAGCATTTCATCGTCGTCTGTGAGTGGCAATGCCCGAGGCGACGAGATGGCATTCAATACATATCAGAGATATATAGAAGCAGCCAAAGCTTCTCGCCAGGACCTGATAATTCTTTCGAATGCCAAATTCGTCAACAATCTGATCATCAGGCGATGATCAAAGCATCTGGAGAAGCTGCGAGCCGCATAAGTGGCGAACTAGTCTGTAAACTGCAGCTGACTCAAGTATAAGAATCATGTGTGGAAATCCTTAATACGAGAACGTCGTTGTCAAACTAAGCATATGGAATCTGATACACGCAAAACCCCTTTTCAGAAGGAAGTGAAGAAAACGAAAGTTAAAATTATTAGCAAGCTGAATACCAGGTGAAGCAACTTCAATTACAGCAACTGCGGAAAGGAATTATGATGAAAAAAGAACTTATAAAAAGTAATATAAAGCAAAAATTAATAATTTTACCTTTTCGCTGCGTAATAAGTTAAACGTTTCATCATAATTTTTAATTTCAGCATTTTTCTCCGCTAAAATTTTCTTTTCCATTTCTCGGAATTCTTCACGTACACGATCTAACTCTGCTCCGCTATTTGACCTGATTTGATCAGCCGAATCTGCAGTGAACGATTTATGAAGACTGATAATCTATACATGGCTGGAACAAAGCTAATTTATTCAATACTGATGGCTGGAACAAAGCTAATTTATACAATAATGTATTACACCGCACAACTAAACCACCCTCTCCTCTCCAACCCATTCGGCTCCTTCGCATTCACTCCCTCTGAGAGACTGAAGTACATGGAATTAGTTTTTGTAACAAAGCTGACGACGAACACCATTTTCAAGGGTTCCTTACAAGTCGTCGATGACCGGCATAATAATTTTTAGCACAAAGAAATTTTACCTTTCAGTCGCGTGATTTCAAACTGTGCTTCAATCAAACTTCTCGATGCCTCACGTTCTTTGAACTTATACTGCTCCAGTGAATCATGCATTGCAGCTTCCTGAACATAAGTTGCATTAAATGCTTTTTTGCGTAACGTAATTCCCTAACGGTTATAAAGAAAAAGTAAAAAATCAAAATCTCTTTCGTATTTCATTCATCGTGATAGGCAAAGGGTGCTAGAGCACGCAGTTTTCTTACCGGCAGTTCGTTTCATGGTACTCGGGTTTCAGGCTATACACGGATACAAAAAAGCACTAAATTTATATCTAGAGTGCACTTTCAAAACATTTTACTACCGAAAATCAGCTCAGAATTGAGGGGGCTAAAACAATAAAATGCTCTGAATTCGAATTTTCCAGCGCAGTAACAAAGAATTTCGATCTTAAAAGTTCCTGTATAGAACCAAGCAGGAATGTACTTGCACAAACGCACCTGAGCATACACACACACACACACACACACTCACATAAACACCCACTCGCACACATACTAAGACCGAAAATCCGCAAAAATCAGATGGAGAAGCCACCACAAAGGAAAAGATTTACACAACCTATGGAGGCAGCAAGGACAAGGAAGTCACATTCTACCTTGAAAAGCAGATACACAATAGATATGCTGACAGACTGCACAATCACTAATGGTATAGTGGGCAGCACGTTGCTGCCGGATGAAGACGGCATGGTTCGATTCCTTGTCAGTCCACAACCATTTTGCGAAAATAAGCTCCGTTCATCACGCACTCAAACACACACGCACAATGCATGCTTCTACACATATATAAAAACACACGTGCGCACAGACATATACGAGTACATATACACTCCCACACACGTAGACGTATACGTACACATTCACACACACAGACACATACACGCACAGAGTCACGTACTTACTCTTGCGTACACACACGCATATCCATGTGCACACACACACAAACAGCCACACACAAACATATAATACATACACACGCGCATACACACAGATGCATACAAATACACACGCATACATACAGACACACTAATACACACGCATATGACCCATGCCCACAAATACATACACGTGCATACGTACACACACGTATACAAGCAAACATATACACACATATTTGCACAAACGTACAGACCCACATATATACATATGAATATATACACATATATATGCGTAGGCACACACAACACACACACACACACATACGCATAGATACACATCCGCATACACACAGACAAACATGCGTCTACACGTACATATATAAAAACGCGCGCACATATACATACAGTATCACAACATATACATACATGCATACACACGCACACGTACACACACGCACATATGTGCGTACACGTACATATACATACATAAACATTCTTACACACGCACATATGCATACACTCATACATACACATAAATAACAAACACACATATGCATAAAGAGGGCGAGACACTATACAATGAAGAAGTACTGTAGCTTGAACGCATGCTGTCGAAGAAAAAATTTTAAAAACCTAGCATTTTCTGGGAATACTCTGGTCCGTCAAATTCTACTGAGAAATGCAACTGACCCGAGCTGTGTGGCTGTCAATAATTTTTTCCAGCTCCGAAATCTTCTTTTCCAAATCCACTGCAGTGCCAGATATTCGGCCAAGTTCATCTTCCAAATTCGAACGATCACTATAACGCAACAGTAAATGAAAACGGATAAAGATAAATGTGTCCTAGTATATTCCATAACACGTACCAAAACGACTTGACCTTCCCAAGTGATTATTTTGGGGAAAACATTGAACTGGTAATCGCTTTAGGAGATAAAACGAACAACAGGACCGCCAGCAGGCTGGCCAGCAAGCAATGCAGCATTGGTCAAAGCAACTAGAAGCGTTACTAGTTTTGTATCTAGAGAATAAAATTATGAATTCGCAGCTGTTCTAAGTCCTTTCAACTCAGATGATATCACTTAATACCCAGTGTTCATTAAACGCTTCTACGGGATTTACGACCTTAAAACCGAACGGAACGCTGCACCGACGGCAATCATATCATATACAGGTTATTCCTTAACAGGCGCTTAAACGATGGAAGAATGTACGAATTAACTGTAGAGGGAAGGGAGGGGGACAATCACCTGCTGCAAATTTCAGAAAAAAGTAAAGTAATCAAAAACTTGCCCAATCCATATCCTATCAAAGCTAGTTCTTGTGCTTCCAAGAAATCTAACGAAGTAGGAGTAAGATTTTCCAACTCAAAAACCTCAGTATTCCCAGTTATAAGTTAGAAGCTTGAGTCAAATGTTAAACGCCTCTGCTGTGAACGAAGCCCTTTTCAAAAATAGTTATGGGTCGGGAAGGAAACGAAATCGAACTGTTTATCTTCACACGTGGACGTAACGTGCTACCCACTACACTACCGGTTCTTTTACTCCGAGACCAGCCGGGCACTAAATCTGATATGTATCTGCCTCTCAAAACAGAATACACCTTTCTTGGCTGAAGAAAGCATAGCAAGAGCACCCATAACACATGTCAAGGGAAACCATCAGCTAACAAAACTATCGGCTGCCCTACCTACAAAGATGTAATAAAACCGCCAAAAGTAATGTGTTTAACATGTATTAACAAAAACAAAGTGCCAACGACTCACCGATATTTAAACATTACAAACATGAAATACACAACAATTAGTAGAACTACAATAAGACAAAACGGGACCAGCAACACCAATGGAACAACAAATAACAACAACAGCAACAAAAAGACGTAACGACCAAGACAACACAAACAAATCTACCCGATCTTACGATTCTTACGAAACAACATGAATCGACGAAGACACGGTAGAAGTTTGCCCCGTTCTCATAAACATTCCTATGAACATTCCTGATGAATGTACCCTTGCACCGAATTTCGACAACGTTTGTCTCAGCGATTCTGATATTTTTACGAATAGTAGGGGCCCGAAATTTTCATATTTTCACCAGCGGATACTCGAAAAAAACTTCGCACTATGCGAGTATATCCATATAAATCAATGGCCTAAGTTTCTATGGCTGTTTGAAATTTATAGTTTTACTATTTTTCTGCATTAATTTTATTCTGCAAAAGCAACCTTTTTTCGTGTATTCTCTCCCTCTA